TGCACTTTGCAGTTTGAAAAGCTTGCCTGGAGCAGATAATTAGGTACCTCAAAGTGTGGGCTTGGTTGTTATAGGCAAGAACAAAATTTTTAAGATTAGTAAGAGCTACAGTCTTCCAGGAAATGTAGTTAGTTGATAAGAACAGTAGTTTTAACTAAACATAAAGGAAGAACATACTGTATTTGAAATCATAGTTGTAAATTGAGTTCAACGGAAAATATTGAATCACTTGCTTTTTAAAAGAAAAAGAAATCTGGCATTCGGTGTCATAAATGGTTAATATCTCCATCCTTTTATCTTGAGTCCTAGGCTATTTTTTTCCTTTTTCCTTTTTAGCTTACAGTCAATGACCTTTCATAATGATTGGAAGGAAACATAACAAAACGAATTTCATGACTCATTTTTCCTGACAGTACTGGACAATGCTTTAGAGGGAAAAAAAGTATTTGGGTTTGGGTTTTACTGTTGTTGAGCCTTCGTTTGTATGTTAACGGCTTTCTCTTTTTTCTTCCTTGTCCTTTTCACTGTGTAAATGACCTACTTTGAAGTTTCAAATAAAAAGAAGTTAAATGGGCTTTTATTTGGCTCTTGATTCTGTCTTTTTCTAGCAAATTTGGAAAAGGTCCTGACTTTGAGTATAACATGGCTGAGTGCGGAGAAGAAAAGAAAGAGCTTTTCCTGTCTTCTGTCTTTTTACTGGTGCCGAACTTGCTCTAAGGGAAAGCAACAAACCTGCCAATATTTGTACTCTGTGAATAGAAGCATTTGAGTGAAAAAAATTAAAAAAAAAAAAAAGAAATAAAAGATATTTACCTAATTTTTGAGACAAAGGTTAACAAACCTTTAAGGGAGCACATTGTGATTGCATGCTTGTGTGTGTGCATGTGTGTGTGTGTGTGTGTGTACGCATGTGTATAGTTATCTACTGTAGGGGAAGAAAAACAATTTTCTTCTACTCCCTTGAGTTCTTAGCTATGACCCCTATAATAAAGTAAAGACAACAAGAGAAAAACAGAAGTTTATTAACATGTATACCTCATGTATATACCAGGGAAAAATTAGTAATTCAAAGAGGTGACTTAGAATCCAG